GAGGCGGAAAGCATAACAGCAGCAACTGCAGCAACAGCAGCAACAACTGCAACAGCAGCAACAGCAACCGCACCAGCAGCAGCACGCACAAACAGCAAAAGATATAGAGAAACAAACAGCAGAAGAGAGACAGAGAAAGAGAGAAACAAACAAAAACAGAAACACAGATAAACCCCTACACACAAGCCGGGTCAAGGGGCGCTCTCACATAGTACCGCGGTGCTGCTGCTGCTGCTGCTGCTGCCGCTGCTGCTGCTGTCGTTGCTGCTGCTGTTGTTGCTGCTGCTGTTCTTGCTGCTGGTGTTTGTGTGTGGCTGCTTCTGCTCAACAGACAGCGCGCGCATCACTGCTGGAAGGGGAGAGATGACGACGCAGCAGCAGCAGCAGCAGCAGCAGCAGCAGCAGCGCGTGATGGCTGCTAACCTGTTGGCTGAGCTGTTGACAGCTCACACGCCTGCTGGTGTTGATCTGCAGCAGCAGCAGCAGCAGCAGCAACGAATGCTGGCTGCTCAGCAGCAGCAGCAGCAGCAGCAGCAGATGCAGGAGGCTGCTGTGCAGCAGCTGAAGAAGCAGCTGCTAGGTATTGTTCGTTTGGGCTGCAAGCAGCAGCGGGTGCAGTGGATAAGGAACGAAGACATAAGCGAGATGCTCTGCAGCAAGGAACCGCAGCAGCAGCAGCAGCAGCAGCAGCAGCAGCAGCAGCAACAGCAGCAGCAAGGGGAGGTCGTTGATGGGGACTTCGCTCAACTGNGCAGCAGCAGCAGCAGCAGCAGCAACAGCAGCAGCAAGGGGAGGTCGTTGATGGGGACTTCGCTCAACTGAAGCAGCAGCTGCTCCTCTTGCTGCAGCTTGATAGCCAGTTGCAGCTACTCCTACAGCAGCAGCAGCTGCTGCAACAGCAGCAGCACGATCAGCAGCAGCTGCAGCAACAGCAGCAGCAGCAGCAGACGCAGCACCCTGATATGAACAGCGGAAGCCACGGGCTCCCTGGCTCGACTGCTGCTCCCGTATTTAACACAGAAGCTCCCCTTCCTGCTACTGCTGCTGCTGCTGCTTCTGCTGCTGCAGTGCGTCGCTATCTGCAGCAGCTGCTGCGCTCGCCTGCTGTTGCTGCAGCACGAAGACGCCACCGCCTCCTCACGGCGGGGGTGCCGATCTCTGCTATAAGGAGAGAATGGAGAAGTCATTTTGGTCAGCTCCTGCTGCTGCTGCTGCTGCTGCTGCTGCTGCTGATGCTGCTGCTGCTGCTGCAGTTGCTTCGGCTGCTGCATATGCTCCTGCTGCTGCACGTGTTGCTTCTGTTGTTGCATATTCTACTGTTGTATATACTGCTGCTGCTGCTGCTGCTGCTGCTGCTGCTGATAGCCGATGATGCCCATCGTAGCTACGGCTACAGGCGGC